TAGTAGTTTTAGCTTCTATACTGTGTAATAAATAATTCTGAATAAGATCTTTTGTCTCATCGTTTGCCAAAATAATTAATTTTATATAAATATACCCAGTTTGCCACTTTTAACCCTTCAGGACAAAGTTGTACTTAAACTGTTGACAAAGCCCAAGGCTGAGATTGGATCCAGTCACCCCCAGGCTCCTCTCTGAGCAGGGGGTCCTTTCTGTACCTTGTGAGCCAAGGGGAGGGTTTCTCTGATTAACTTGGTCTAAAGCCCCACTCCCACCCTAACAGAGGGCCCCCTCAGCCTCTCAGAGCCCGCTGAACACATGGAGGGAGACTCAGCTGCTGCCCTACCCCTCAGCTCCCCCTCCCCTCCTGACACTGCCTCCTGCCCTCTCCCAAATGCTGCAGCTTCTGAACCTCAAACCCACGAGGTCACCACCTCCCCCTGCTCTGGCACCAGGAATTACAGGCTCTGTGTGTCCTCTTGCACAGGGGCTGGCAGAGGAGGGTGAGCATTTTCCAAGGCAGGATCAGATCAGGAACAATTTCCTCCTTTAAATATGCACAAACCCAGGGAGTTGGATATTCATCAGGTGCCAAAGTATCTGAGGAGTGATATCTGTGGGGTGTAAGGCCCTGCTAAAGGACATACACCATGTTCCACACACCAGGCACAGCTGAACCTCCCAGGCAGGGCTGTGCCACCCCCAGTGCCCCGAGCCCTGTGCCCATGGGAAGTGCAACCAATCTGCAGGAGGGAGAGAATGGAGGCCCAGCAGGCAAATCTCACATTCAGCTGTAAATCTGCCACATCTGCACAGATAAAATGTGCTGTGGGGAGCTCCTGGGGCTCAGTCACCAGGGCTCCCCTGCCCAGCACTGTTCTCACCCTGCCCACACTGCAGAGCTGAGCACTGGCCCGGGCTCCAGCCTTGGAGTTCTGGCTCAGTTCTTAATTTTTCCTGCCTATGGCACTGCAGGAGAACATCCTCAGAGCACATTTCAGTGGGATACTCAAAGAAGAGCCTCCTGCAACGCCCTGACTCAGAGCACATCTCAAAATGATTCCAGGAACAGCCCAGATCCAAAAGTCAGAGGTCACATTTCTGGAAGTGTTACTGGGCAGGCTGAGGGCAGTAAGGGGACTGAGGGCACTGGGGACACTGAGGGCACTTGACTCTCCTTGTTTTCAACACCTGCTTTTCAAGTTCCAACCTCCTCAAGGACCTGGCACAAACTTACAAGGAATTAGCAGGTTGTAGGGAAAGTTCCCTACGAGATGATCCCGCAGCAGGAGGGTCTGACCCCCCAAACCTCTCCTGCCTCACTGTTCCCTGGCCCCTTGCACTGGGTTCAGATGGGAAATTATGCTTTTCCCACCAAATAACCTCACTATTTTTAACACTGTTGCAGAGTTACCAGGAAAACAAAGAAGCTGTTCAGTGATGAACCAACATTATCATCTGCTCCACAGAATTTCTGCTGCTGTCCCAGACTGGTGGAACACAAGGAGCCCAATCCCACTTGGAAACTATTTTCAAGGTCTGAGACTGATAGTGAAAAAAAACAAAAACAAAAACAAAATAAAAATCACATTTTTACCTGAAAACTCAGCAATCATGGTGTGAAATAATCTGTCTGGAGTGAATTTACTGCTCCTCAAGCTTTGTTCCTTCCCTGTGGTTGGGGGTACCTGTGGGTGCCTGCTCCCTGTTGTAGCAGCTGTGTAACCTCCTCCAGCCTGGGGAACTGGGCAGAGCCCTGAGGAGTCCTGGCACCTCTGTGAGCACAGTCCAGCTCAGGCCAGTCCCAGGCTGGGACACCTGAGAGTATCAAGGTGCTCGGAACAGGTTGAAGAAGCTGGTTTTAAATCAGAGGGATGTGATAACTCCTGTCTGCTGTGCTCCTGTTTGTGCCACTGGAGCGCTGAACTCTCAGCAACTCCCACAGCACTTGGAGCAGCTGGAGCTGCTCCTACACAAATAAGGCAGGTGGGATCCATCCTCTGAGGGCTAAAAGACCTCCACAGCTCCCTCTTGCTTGAGGGGGGAAGAGATGTCTTGTGCTATCCAGTGAATGCTCCTTTAGAGGTGCTTTTGTCTCCCAGGTGTGGTAGAACCACATGGAACTGAAGGTTCTGCCTCAGAATAAAACATCCAACCTCTACCTGATGTGATATGAGATTAACCCTGCCATGTGCCTCACCATGGGCACCTTTATGGCCTGAAGAGTTTGGATTCATCCCTAGATCACCATGACACACTGACAGCAAAGTCTTTCCCCACGGTGTGAAGAACACCCCCTGTAATGACTTTACAGCCTTTAAATGCCAGGCAGTGATGCATTGCCCACTGACATGTCAGAGAGGAACCATAAATCACAATCTTGCAGGAGCCTGTGGATGTCAGACATGTGGATGTGCTGATTTGGTCTCCATGGTAGTTTGGCATGTCTCACATCTTTGTCTTCTGCCCAAAATAGATTAGCTCTTAAATATTACTCAGCACTTGGAGTTCTGCCACAGCACAGAAGACAGTTGAGAAAACACCAAAAATGTGTCTCCCAGTGCAAAGAAATATTGAGATAAACTTCACTGGCTTTGTTCAGTCTAAAAGTAGAACCCTTTGGTGTAACAACAAGGCAGGGTGGGGTTATTTGGCTCATGGCAGCTGAAGTGGAGATTTTAACACATGTACTGGAACTGAAATAAGACAAAACCTGAGCATGAAGCTGCTCAGCTAAAGCTCAGGACTAACCCTTGCTGTAGCACTCATCTCTCCTGTCCAGGTACTGGGCTGTCAGTTCAAACTGAACACAGGAAATTTTTCAATATTTCCAGAAATAATCAAATTATATCAGGCACAATCATAACAACAGAGCCCCTCGGTTACTTGCTCCCCCAAAAGTCCTGCTTTCACAGCACAAACACACAAATCATGTCACAGACAAAGACAAACCTACACATTTGCACAAGCAAACCAGGCAGTTTGCCTGCAGTACGTGTGGAGATGTTCAGCACTTGCACCACTCATGAGTGGGAGTGTGAATCTGCCATTAAAAAAAATTAGAAATTAACATTATAATACTGTTTAAATAAAATGTGGTTTTATAGGTAGCTGAAAAGTAAATTCTAAGGCCATTCCTTTCTGGTTTGTCCATAAACAGCCAAGGTAGAATTTGATTTCTTCAGAAAACAAACTTTGGAAAGCCTCCCCCCTTAACCCCCCTGTCTGGGGGCTGTTGTGGTGGATGGACAGTCTGGACTCCCCCTGCCCACTCTTCCACCTTCCCAGGGATGGGAAATGTGCTCTGTGGGGCTTCCAGGTATGAAAACCACGAGCCCATCTACAGGAGAGCAGAGCCCCCGAGAGCTTTCAGTCCAGAGGGAAAGCAGGTTTTGTTCTGATGTGGGGAGGAACCAGGGAAACCACATAGCCCAGAAAACTGCTGGGAGATAATCCCGATGTCTGGGACAAAGAGGCAGGAATGTGGCCCTGCTGGGGGTTATCCTTGTGCTTGGGAAAGGTTATCAGGATCTCCACCCTGTGGCCCATCTCTCCTGGGGTTCTCTTGCTGTCTCACCCTAAATACCCTCCTGATGTGACATGACATGACTATAAAACTCCTCTTGGATGGGCTGGAGAAAGGGAGACCTTGTGTAAATGTCCTTCCTCGAACCATTGCAGTTCCCAGCCCAGCTGGGGTTTGGAGGTGGTTCCTCTGCTCCCCTTCCCCCGGAGCAGAGCCAGGCTGGAATTGCAGGGTATTGGATTACAAGTCCCACGGGTGCTGCCTCAGCCTCAGTAAACTTTATTTAAGCACACACAGACATACACAGACAATATACATAGATTTGTTTCTTCTCTGACAGTGCTACAGGACCAACACTACTGCGGATGACACTCGTGGAGAGCTGGAAAAAGTGCAGGAAATGTAAAAACCAAGGTCTTTTAATAATTTGTGAGTCATGTCATCCACAGGAACAACACAGGAGCGTTCAACCAGGTGAGCACGAGGACACATCTCCACATACAGTACATTGGTCTATAGAGGAATCTCCACATACATTGTGTCTACAGGGAGGTACAACAGTCTCGAGGTCAGGAGGACACAAAACCAGACAGGGACTGGCACATGCACCCCCAGTGGCACAGCCCAGTGGCACTGCCAGGGTGGCTGGGGCAGGGGAGGGGGGACAGAAAGATGCTCCAAACACAGTCTCACTGTACACTCCAAAAACTCACCAAAATAGGCAACAAGGTCATCAAATGAACATTCATTGGGGGTTCTGATGCCCAGCTGGGCCAGAGCTCACAGCTTTGGTGTCACCAGGACTCCTGGGATAGGTGGTTACTTGTCTTATAGAGCTCCAGCTGGCTCTCAACATGTATTTTATATACAGTACATATACACAGAACATACACAGAGCAGTATATGTATACTTTTGTGTTTTCCTGTTTGTACATTATATCACAGGTTATAGGAACACATAAAATATATGTTTCAGGAGCTAAAAAGGAAAGAATTTTATAAAATATTCATCATACACCCCTCACCCCCCCAGAAAAAAAAATAAAATAAAAGCCCAGAAGTCAAACAAAAGAACTCCAGAGAGACACTCTGGAAGTGGTCACTGCCTGCCCTGGGCCAGCTGTACATCCCTCCCCTTCCTCTGGGAGGACAGGAATGAGGGGGGTTTGCAACCATGCACCCAGGAAAACACAAAGCTGTATAAACAGTCCAACTGCACAGGCAGAGTCCAGAATCTGGAATCTGGAATCTGGAATCTGGAATTTGTCTGACTCTGCACTCCCCCACCACCTCCCCTGCAAGGATTTCAAAGGTTCTGCCCGAGCACAGTATTTTACCTGCAGCAATATTTCCTGGACTAAACCCACTACCTGCAGTCCAACACTGTTCTCTCAGGGTACTTAGAACCCACTGCTGAGTTAGAGCTTTTTATTTAAAACAATCTTTTGATTTAGCAAAAAATGGTTTCCACTGTACCCTTCGTGTGTCCTCTTCCTAATGTGACAAACCCGGAGGAGATGAAATTATGGAGATCTGGGCCTCCACTTCGGTAAATATCTTTTCCATAGTGACCTGTCAAGGAAAAGAAAACAAAATCACCTTTATTCAGTGTACCTGTGTGGATATAGATATCTGTATTTGTGCTATACAGCCCTGCTGTCACCCTCATAGAAGAGCACCAAGACCCCACCACGTGTCACACTATTCATCCCAACCTGAGGGTCTCACAGAACACAACAGCTACAGCAGCACTGCTTTACTGGCAAAGATTTATGGAGAACAACTGCACATTTTGATAATTGCCAAGGCAAGAACAGAATCTGAGAGGGGAACCACTGATGTGCCAAAGCAAACCCCCCAGTCTTGGGGAAGTTGGCTCATCACAGGCTCAGCTTGAGGTTTGGGACTGGTCTCACTCAGACCTTCAGGACTAAGGAGCTAAAGGAATTCAGAAGAGATTTTTGACTTTGAACCTTTCCCATTCCAGCCCCACTCCTGACAGGATTCCTGCTGGCAGAGCTTTTGTCTCAGCAGAGGTGCCCAGGCTGCACCCACATCCCCAGGAACAGCAGGACAGCAAACTTTGTCCTTTAGCTTTGATTTGCTCTGGTCCACAAGGGGCATCCCTGGACAGTTCCTCAACTGCAACAGCCTTCTCAAAAGACTTCTTTGGAGCTTTCTCATCCCCTGACAACAGAGTAGGTTCGAGAGACACCCAGCCTTTTAATATTTTAATACATTAATAAAGAAAAAAGCTTCCTGCCGCCTTGTTACCATGCAAAGCTCTGAAATGAGGACAGAGATAATTTTTCAGATACTCTTTATCATCTCCTCCCTTTTTCATGTTATTAATTTTTCTATTCCTTTTATTTCAGAGAGAGGCAGAGATAAGATAGGTGCAGGGGGAGGGAAGGAAGGTGGCCTCAGGGGCCAGGAATGCAGCTCAATCCCCGGTAAATCTCCACTTCTCCATGACTTTCTGCCCAAGCTGTGATGTATCACTGCTCAGAGCCAGGGGGCCTGGAGGGGCTGATGGTCCAGAGCCTGGTGCTGGAGCAGGAGAGGGCAGGGACAAGTGGGCATCAGGGATCCAGCTGGGAATATCCTGGGGCCACGTACAGATGTTACAGCCCTATTTTTCAAAGATTGAGACCACGTGCTGTTTGTTCTCATCCATTTTCAGACTCTCTGGCAGCACTACCAGGACAGAGACTTTGGAACCTACTCAGTCTGAAAAGTTTGCCTCTTTTCCTTTTAGCCAGTCACTCTCAGCCCAGTACCCAGCAGTTAGTGCTGGTTTTGCAGGTCATTCCTCCTGTCAGCAGAGTCCACCTTGCATATGAACAATCTGAGGGTGAGCACCCCAACCACTCCCCAAGGTCCCCAGATGTCACAGAACCATGGAATGGTTTGGGTTGGAAGGGACCTTAAAGCTCATCCAGTTCCACCTCCTGCCATGGGCAGGGACACCTTCCACCAGCCCAGGTTGCTCCAAGCCCTGTCCAACCTGGCCTGGGACACTTCCAGGATGGGGCAGCCACAGCTTCTCTGGGCAACCTGTGCCAGGGCCTCACTCACTCACAGCCAAGAATTTCTTCCATATATCCCATCTAACCCTGCTCTCTGGCAGTTTGAGGCCCTTCCTCTTGTCCTGTCACTCCAGGCCCTAGGAAATAGTCTCTCTCCATCTCTCCTGTTGGTCCCTTCAGGTCCTGGAAGGTCACAATTAGGTCTCCCCAAAGCTTCTCTTCTCCAGGCTGAACAATCCCAGCTCTCCCAGCCTTTCCTCCCAGCAGAGCTGTTCCATCCCTCTGATCCTCTTGGTGCCTCCTCTGGACTCTCTCCAGCAGCTCCATGTCCTCCCTGTGCTGTTCCCAGGGCTGGAGCAGCTCTGCAGGGGGGGCTCAGCTGAATCCCCCTGTTCTGCCTCCAAAGCCCCTGTCCAGGAGCTGCCTGGCCAGGACAGCCTGGCACAGGCTGTGCCAGCCCAGGAATGTGCTGAAGAGCCCCAGAGGAGCTCACACATGGCCTGCAGGAGCTGCTGAGACTCCTGACAATATTATTCCTATCTAACAGAAAAAGCTTCCCACTCCCTTCCCATGTGGATTTTTTCTGGTCAAGGTCAGCCAAGTGCTCCCTGTAAACTCCTCAAAACACATAGAAAGTGTTTCTCTAGGTTTGGGAGGGTTAACAGAGGACAGATTTATTCCTACAGTTGCAAGGTGGTAGCAAAACCCTTCATATTTGGAGGCATCCACTCAGCAATTGGCTGGGAAGAAAAAAAGGAAACAAGGATTTTCTAATTCCATGGGAAAGATCAGGGGCTCTTTGTCTCTTCTTGCTCCCTTGCTCTTGCAAGCTCTGGCTGTTGCATTCCTGGAAAAGGGTGGCAGACCTTTGCCTCTGAGTCCCTGGAATTTATTTGTGCTCCATGAGATGATTTTCCTGCTCCTGGGAAGCAGAGATGGTTTGTGGCTGCAATGCCCAATTTGATTTCATTTTCTCTATAATTTTCGAAAATGTGCTGCATTTTTTCTTTCCAGTAAGCCAATTTTTGCTCATATACCAACAATTTCTGTGCTCTCAGGACCAGAAACTCTGGCAACTGGCACTCCAGAACTGCCATAAATTCCCTATTTTAAACAAGGATCAAAGAACCACACAAATAAGTGCTTTTACCTCCAGCTGAAATCAGCTGTCTTTTATATGTCCCTTTGGAGAAGCTGTTTAAAACAGAGATCAAGAAGGGGAAGTACATTAAAAAAAGCAAACATTTACTGGCAGATTGAAGATTGTTCATCAGCCATTTGCTCTCTGAACCTTGCTCTTCCCCTGCTTATAGAACATTGTAGTTAAATTAAAACAACCCTGTGATAACAAGCCATTAGCATTTGAACAGGAGGGAGGTTTTCCCAGGAGAAACTTGAATTTGCAGACTTCAAGGAGCAGGACTTTTCCTGGTTTATGGAGAAATTACAGGACGCTACTTTTGCTTTCTGTGGTTTTTTCTTCCTGCTCACTTGTGCTCCTTTCTCTGGCCTTCACAAAATGCTGGATTTCAAAGGTGCCTCGGGGGCTGTGGGTGGGTCAAACCCGGGTGTTGTTGTTCAAACAGGCTTTGCCACAATCCCTTCTTGCCTGGGGGGTTTCCCATTGGAAGTGAAGCTCTCCTGGACCTTCCCCAGATTCCCATGTCCAGCAGCCCCAGCAGAGCTGCAGAAGCTCAGGCAGAGCAGTGGGAGCACAGACTGACCCAAAACATCCCCAGTTTGATCTCTGGGCTGTTTTCCTCCTTTCTGTCCCCACCCCTGTGCCCTCACCAAGCTGCTGGGAGTCCTTCTGGAGCTGGAGGGAGGGATGGGCTCTGCCAAAACCAGGGTTCAGCCACAAGCTGAGCTGAGCTGAGGGAGGTGTCTGGCTCATGGGGTAGGAAGGAGCCCCTGGAACATATCCAAGATGTTCCCTCATAGGCTGAAGCTCTGTGTCACCCTCTGCTCTACGGTGAGAGAGCTAAAAACTGCCCAGTTCCTTGAAAAACATGTACATGGAGTGATATTCATTTTATTTCAGACTTCAGGGATTTTTCATGGAATCACAGAATGGTTTGGGTTGGAAGGGACTTTAAAAACCACCCAGTCCCACCCTCCACCATGGGCAGGGACACCTTCCACCAGCCCAGGTTGCTCCAAGCCCTGTCCAACCTGGCCTTGGACACTTCCAGGGATGGG